TGTGAAGCACAGACATGAAGAAGTAAAGAAGCCTCCTGTTGATGGTGTTTCTCGGGTTGGTCCACTGACCTGCCGCCGTTGGTGAGGACGATTATGGCTCCGGCGCAGCACTTGAAGGACGACTCGACGGCGCCGATGGCCGTGACCTCGGTGGGGTCGGAGGACAGTGGCGTGAGGCGGCGAAGCTCCTCGAAGAGCTGCTGGTGGAAGATGGCTGCTTCTGCCTCCCTGCAGATCTGAAAGAGAGTCGGAGAGCAAGAGAAGGAGGAGGTCATCGGAGGGCGTCTGGTCACACGGAACAGAACAACGAGTCACTCACCGAGTGCATCATGGCCACCGACTCCACAGGAAACAGGCCTTTGGCCGTTTCTCCAGAAAGCATCACGCAGTCGGCGCCGTCCAGCACGGCGTTGGCCACGTCGCTGCTCTCTGCTCTGGTGGGTCGAGGGTGGGCCACCATGCTCTCCAGCATCTACACAGAACACCAACAGGGCTGAGGATCGGACCACAACACTCCCTGGAGAGTAGGACGAGTTATAAAACGTTCTGAGGATGTTCTGCAGAGTTCTACTCATGTTTTAGCTGGACGTTTCCTTGTAGTTCCCAGAATGTTTTTCTTAAAGGAGATAACTAGAGACGTTCTAAAAATGTTTGGTGAGAACACCGTTGGCCTGTTGTGCTCTACCGTTCTCAGAATTGAACACTGCACTGAGAACGTTCTACCTATGTGACACTGTGGAACATTATGGGAACGTCTTATAGATCGCACAATGTGTTCCCTCAACAACATCCTGAACATCGCAGCCAGAACGTTCCACCTTTGTTAACATGTCACGGTGCAAGAACATCTGACATCTCGAAAACATGTTGGTCTGAGAACGTTGTTCCTTTGTTATCATGGAACGTTATGAGAATGTTACAGAGAGGAACGTTCTATAATGTGTTCCCCAAACGAAACCCTCAAAAGATCTTCAGAACGTTGCAGGCAGAACGTTCCACCTCTGTTTATTCACCACACAGCAGTCTATAAAGAACGTTCTGTCATCTCAGGTCACTTCTTGAAAATGGTTTCTGAGTGTTCCACTGAGAACATGGTTCCTTTGTTGTCACGTCTTATAGCAGAACGTTCCGTAATGTGTTCCCTCAGAGAAATGGCAAAATGTTCCACTGTTAACACAACGTTCTAAAACGTTCTGTATAGAAAACAATCTGTCGTCTGAGGCCTCGATAACATCTGGAAAACGCTCTTTGAATGTTGGTTTGAGAACGTTCTTGATTTGTTATGGTGGAACATTGTGAGAATGTTTCATAGAGAACGTTCCAGAATGTGGGCGATCATCAGAAAAGCAAGAATTTTATTGACATATTTTGGATTAAACCCGACAACAAGCAGATAAACACTGAACCTGATGATGTGTGTGACGGCCAGACGCTACAACCTTGTTACCATGGAAACTACACCAGCGCACCACAGACTACAGTATTAAACTGAACTAGTACAGGTACTACAGGTGTCTTACATGCATGTATCATCAGTACAGCTGATTAGTTTTTCCCTCTCCTCAGTCTTTACCATCATTATATTTATGCTGCGCTGACTGAAGCTCTCAGTGACTCTATTAGATGCATGTAAACACACAGAGACGATGGACGGACGTGAATCTTCACCCACAACGTCTCTGAGAGGCTCCACAGCAACCTCCTGATCAATCAATCCATCAGACATAAACCGCCGGGACTCAGCCTGATGGAGCGATGTGGTTTTGGAGGCTGATGGCTTCATGAGTCTGACCGTGGGATCGATACCGAGCAGAGACTTCTGAGTCGATAAGAGGCAGACGGACGGAACATGAGAACGCCGGCAGCAGAGCCTCGGAGGCGGTTCAGAGGGCGAGCCGCGTTCAGGTCTGGAGCTTCAAGGCTGCTGTCGGGATCCACACGGCTGCAGCAGAACCGGGGAACCACATCCAGCGGACCAGTCAGTGCGAGAACGTTATGCGAGTCTGGTTCTAACCCGCCAAAACCCAACAGCTGTTCCCACGACACCGGCTGACTTCACTTTTAAAAAATAAATAAATGTAGGAATATTTTGATTTCCAGAATGTTCCTATGAAGTTGAAATTGTGTTTCATCTCCACATCCAGCAGACGTTGTCAGGAACACAGATTAGGTTCTCATACAAGCTCCAGTCTAGACCTGCAGCTTCAGTCTAGACCTGCAGCTCCGGTCTAGACCTGCAGCTCCGGTCTAGACCTGCAGCTCCTATCTAGACCTGCAGCTTCAGTCTAGACCTGCAGCTTCAGTCTAGACCTGCAGCTCCTATCTAGACCTGCAGCTCCAGTCTAGACCTGCAGCTCCAGTCTAGACCTGCAGCTCCGGTCTAGACCTGCAGCTTCGGTCTAGACCTGCACCTCCAGTCTAGACCTGCACCTCCAGTCTAGACCTGCAGCTCCGGTCTAGACCTCTGGTCATCCTGTGGTCCGTTACCTGCGTGGCACAGATGACCGGTTTGCCGGCGGAGTTGCAGCGTCCGATCATCATCTTCTGGGCGATGAAGACTTTCTCTGCCGGAATCTCGATCCCCAGGTCGCCCCGGGCAACCATCACGCCATCGCTCTCGGCCAGGATCTCCTCGAAGCTGATGGACAGACAGATCAGAGGCAGGAGGAGGAGGATTAGTTAGAGTTGGAGGAAAGAGACGACGCCGTGAAACACATCAGTGGATTGTGTGATTTAAACCCTGAATCATCTAAATCCAGACGTGAGACGAGCAGCAGCAGGAGGAAGGTTAAGTCTGTGAAACGTGATCTTCAGCAGCAGGAGATGAGTGATGGAGGTCTGACACACGGACTCTGAGTGGCCTCAGAGATCCGACATCGGGTCTGTTTCCTGTCGAAGCCTCATCAGGAGACTCTGCTTGGTTCTGCTGCAGAATAAAGAACGTGTTCCTCGACTCACCTCTGACCTCCTGCTGATGACGCGTCACGTTACGGGAACGTTAGAAAACGTTCTGTACGAAAAACAATCTGTCATCTGACACCTCCGTAACATCTGGAAAACATGGTGGATGTTGGTCTGAGAACGTTCCTCTTTTGTTATCACGTAACATTGTGGGAACATTTTACAGATTCCATCAACAACATCCCTAAAACGTCCTCAGAACATTGCAGCCACAACGTTCCACCTCTGTTAACATATTGCAGTACAGGAACGTCTCGTAGAGAACCTTCTGAGATCTAACATCTAGAAGACGTTTTCCAGATGTTACACAGAGAACATCCTTCCATTTTTCAGATTTTCTAATACGTTCCACCAGCAACCTCCCCAGAACGTCCTGAGAACGTGGACTCACTTCTGGACTCCCTGCCGACTCTCCACCTTGCTGATGACCTTGATGCTCCGCCCGTGGGCCCCCAGCGTTCTGCGGACATCCTTGACGTCCTGCGCCGAGCGGATGAAGCTGGCGAACACCATGTCGACGCCCTGGGCGACGCCGAAGCGCAGGTCGGCCTCGTCGCGCTCGCTAACCGCCTTCATGCCCACCAGGTCGCAGCCCGGCAGGTTCACGCCTTTCCGGCTGCAGAGGACGCCGCTGGCCTCCACCACAGCATCCACCCAGTCTGGACCTGCAGAGACCGGATGAGGTTCTGTCAGGACGCCAGCGTCACACAGCAGGTTACCATGACGACACACTCAGTTCTGAACTTTAGGAGTGATGTCATTACTTTCTCTATAGCTAGGTCCAGGGCAAAGTCAGTTTATTATCAATATATGTGTCATATTTCAGCTTCATTTGCCTCATTTCTTTGTCAGCTGTAGTATTTTAGCTTCATGTGTAAACATCCAGTTTTATGCAACATATCTCAGCTTGATGTGTAATATATCATTTACTTTACTTTTCACGACATTACTCCCTTAATGTCACCGCCGGTCTTATTGTTCTTCTAGCTTTCTTTTTGCGTGCTGGTCTTCATTTACAGATCGTACTCACAGCTTTTATCACGTTATGCACATTTGTTTTCTGATCTGTATCTGAATTTCTTCAAGGATGAATAAAGTTTTATCATCTGTCTGACCTATTTCTTTGACTTTGAGAGCGATGAGTCCATCGTCGATGTAGATCCGTCCCCCCTTGCTGAGGGCTTGGGGCAGGCCGGGGTAGTCGACCCAGATCAGCTTCCCGTCCGTCTTGTCTTTGTCGCTTTCTGCCGTCGACACTCGGACGCTGCTGCCTTTCTCCAGCTCCACCTCGTCTTCCACTTTCTGTGGCGGAAAACACAAACAGCCAGAGAGAGGACCATGAAAACAAACGGACATCCCATGAACTCATTAACATCCAGCTGATGGATGGATGGATGGATGGATGGAGCTCCCATTTATGGAGATGGGGTAAGTGTGACACTGGATGTTTGAGTTCAAAAGTTTCAAAATAAAAGAAGAAGAAAACATTTATTTTAAGACCCCACATGCAGCCACATGTGGTTCAGAAATGTCACTCGTTGACTTCTGCCTTATTAATTTGATCAATGTGACAGGTTCTGGATCAATGACATGATGAGAAATAACAGATTTCAGGCTTTTGTCTTTAATAGTTCCTCAGATGTTGTTGTTCAAACAAACTCAGATTAAACGTGATGATAAACCTGCTGAACGTTGGTTGAGGGCAGATTTATCACCGACACTATCTAATATGTCAGTTTGTCTCATATTTGGGTTTTTTATGTCTCACTCGTGTTCTTTTATGTTTCTTTGGGACCGTTTTGTCTCATCTCTGTCATTTTGCTGCTCGTTCTTTCTCATTTTTTGTCTTGTTTTTCACCTAATTTCCTCCTTTTTGTCTCTTTGTGGCCACTTTTCTGTTTCCTGTTTATAGATTTCCACTCAGTTTTAGTTAAACTACTGATCAGATGTTAGAAGCAGCAGATCACACGGAGGAGGTTTCCAGTCATTTGTTCTCCATCCTACGTATTTCCTGCCTCTCTCAGGCTCGACTGCTCGTTGCCGCCCGGTTGGACTGACTGACAGATGAAGTACAACATGTTCACCCCGTTCACTAATCCGGTGCGGATCTCGGGGCCCTTGGTGTCCAGAGCGATGGCGACCGATCGGTAGTACAGCGGGTCAGAGGTCACCGTCTCCACCGCCTCCCGGATGTTTTTGATGGTTTCGCTGTGATACTGAAAGAGACACAATCAATACGTGAGCGAGCGGAGAAACAGCGCAGACGGACGGACGGATGTCGTCTGGACCGACCTCGTGAGAGCCGTGGGAGAAGTTCAGACGAGCGATGTTCATCCCGGCTTTGATCATCTCCTGCAGTTTGGGGATCGATCGAGACGCAGGACCTGAGAGAGAAAAACAAAGACGTTTTACATTCATTTAACCTCAGAGCTCCATCAGCGGGGTTCATGCTTCTGTGCAGCTCTGTGGAACCAGAACCACATGAACCCAGAGACGTCTTCTGTCAGCAGGACTCAGAATGATGGAGACCAGACAGAAGGAACTGGAGGCAGGAGGTGCTTTTTCAAAACAGAGACACAATAAAGCATCAAGAGACATTAAGTTGCTCAGAAAGACCAGAAACATCAGAAAACACCAAAATAAACATCAAATAAAATATTAAATATTAAAAAGCAACAAAAAAAAAACACTGGGAAAAAGAAAAAACTGCAGAAGATCTAATAAAACATTAAATAAAGACAATAAAACTTCAGGAAACACACTAAAACATTTAAAAAGCAACAATAAAAGAGTAGAAAACACAGTAAAGCACTAAAAGGCAGCAGAAAAACATGAAGACATGACAACAGAATGATGGAAAACACGATGAAATATTAAAAACGCCTTAAGAGAAGACAATAACAGGTCAGAAAACACAAAGAAATATTAAAAAGCAAAATTAAAACATTAATAAATGACAGTAAAACATTAAAAAAGACAGTAAACCAGGAGCAAAGCAGGAAGAAGCACCGACAAGACAATAAAACAATACAAAACACAATAAATCATTAAAAAACAAGAGAAAGCAGGAGGAAAGATGACACAACACTGGAGAACACGATAAAACATTTTTAAAAAAGCAACAGAAAGCATTAAGAAAAGACCAGAAAACATTAGAAAAACATTAAAAGCAACAGTAAAGCAGAAGGAAAACACAACAGGACATAAAAAAACATGAAGACAAAGACTTTAAGAAAGCTCACGTACCAGTAGACAACAATAAAAGATTAAAACCAAGAGAAAGCAGGAGGACAGGATCATTAAATCCTTTAGAAGCAACGATCAAACACCAGAACAAACAGTGAAGCTCAGAACTCTTCAGACTGACACCACAGACACTCTTCTTATGTTCTGGACTCTTCCTGGGATCTCATTGGCCAACAACATGCTGGATCTCTCATCTCCTCGCCTCCACCTGCTCCTCTCATTCTGGGAACAATCAACCAGCAGCTGCCAGCTGGACCAGATCTGGAGGATGGTTCCTGTTCATCCGTTTCTGGCCAGAACGGAACCGAGCCAGGATCCGGCAGCGACTCAAACTCACCGATGGTGCAGATGATGCTGGTGTTGCGCGCCGTGATTGGCTCCTGGTCGATGTCCAGCAGACACAGGTGCTCCAGGAAGGTGTCGGCCATGCTGGCGTCCAGCTGCTGCCGCTGGATGAAGGAGTCGGGCAGCGCCATGGCCTCCGAGTATCTCCTGATGAGAGCTGTGGAGACACAGTGGGTTAGCAGGGTTTAATTAGAGAGCGCTAACGAGGAGGAACATGGAGTCGATCTGAGACTCAAACACATCAACAGCTGGCTGGTGTCTAGAACATGGATCAGAACCTCCACCATGACAAACAGCTGGACAGTGACATCCAGGAAACACTGAGATCATATTTAATGTGTTCATCCAGAAACACCTCCGATGCTGCAGTGATGAACCAGAACTGTTTGTTTCCATGATGAACGTGTCATAAGGCAGAAGTGATGGTTTTTATCATTGTACTGGTTTGCAGTGTTTATGATTTTATATTTATTTATGCATGATTTTACTTATTTTAATTTTTTATGCTTTGGGTTTTATTCTGTTTTTATTGTGCTTTATATTTGATGTTTTTATGTGCATGCATGCAACACTGTGTTGACACACTTCTAACCTTAATTGGACTTAATGAGGAGTAATCTGCACCTGTAGTCGAGCTGATGGACAGCATAACCAGCCACTAGGGGAAGGAGAGGAGGACTCACGGCCAATCCGTGGCTGGGGGGAGGGCACAACGGCAGAAACACAGGAAGGAAAGGCCCACAGCAGAGGAAGAGGAGGTGAGCGCGTGGCAGCAGAGACACACCTGTTCTGCAGTGTGGCAGCGATGGAGGAGAGAGAACCATCCGAGACGGACGAGGGGTTTCCTCAGACGGTGCGACCGGGTTCTAAAGACTATCCGCCAACGCCTGTTTCCTCCGGCCTGGGTCCCTAGTTCCGCTAGCGACCCGGGAAAACCGTGAGTAGTTTTATCGATTCATTGGCGGCCTGTATGTGTCCTGAGGTGCTCGCTGAACCGCGCTCGTAATTGTGGACCGAGACTCGCCAGTTGCCGTTTTGTGTCCATAGAGGGCTGGGCCGGAACCAAACAGGTGGACTGTGGTGTGGCTCCAGGACTCCTCAGGAGAAGGTGGACTGCGTGGACGAAGAAGGATTGTTCCAGACTGCTGGGGCCTTGGCTGACTGTGGTTTGGGTGAAGGAAATATTCATTGTTTTATTAAATGCTTTTATTGTGATCCTTTGTCCTGGTAGTTATTTTAAAACTCTGCTTGATTTTAAGAACCTGTTTGAGTCCTAGGCTCTCTCCTAGGTGGCGTTGTCGTTTTTAGTTCTTTTAAAATATTATTATTTTATAATAGTTTTAATTATAAATTCCGGTTGTATTGTTTTTAGTTGTTTTAAAGCCCAACACACGCCCGTAGTTTTTTTTACAAACGTTTGCTCTGTTTGCTGCTGTCACGTCACTAAGCTCCACTGTGGGATTAATAAACTCAGACTTGTTTGATCTTAACCTGAAATATGAGGTTCACTGTTTAATAGTCATCAGACTGTCATCTCCTGATCATCAACACAACAGCAGCTGCAGCTTCTTGTCATTTTATGTTGTGTTCTTGTAGCATTTTGTCCTGTTTTTGTCCCTTTGTGTCATGTGTCATGTTGTGTCTCGTTTATGTCCTTTTGCGGTTCATTTGCTTCGTTTAGTGTCTAATTTGTGTGTCTTTGTCTCTTTTTTGTCCTGTTCNTTGTTATATTATAGGAAGAAAAGTGTTTGGGTTGCCAGGTTGGTCAAACACTGCTGACTGTTTATTTACTTTTTTATTTAAAGATTTTCTTATCAGGCAAAAGTAAACGAATCTCCACTAATCATTAATGCTAATCATTCATTTGAGGAGATAATTATCAATAATAATAAGTGATGCATTAATTATGGTTAAAACAAACTGTCAGGAGACTCACAGCAGCCACAACCTGGCAACCCCAAAGCTGTTTCCCTAATAATGGATAATAAATCATTGACTAAACGTTGATGCAACGTCTAGACAACCTGTGACGCCTTTAGAGGCGGTGAGTTCTGAGAAAGTTGTTCCGTTCCAACGATAACGTGTTCACAGTGTTTCTGCTTCTCTTGTTTCTGTTTTATTGGAAAACACCAAAAATGTCATCGTGCCCCAGAAAACCGACAAACGTTGCGTAAAAGCGAGACTTTGACAGCTGATCCGACACGCCGTGACGCTCTGCAGCAGCAGCTCCGGTTCTGATCCGTGCACGCTCAGGCGTGAACTCGGCTGTAAATCAACAGCCAGAGGACAAACTGACCTTTGTTCTGAGTTCCTGACGCCTGCAGGCCTCCTATCATGCAGAACACACAGCGAGTGTGATACAGTAACGCAGCATTAATGACCAAACGGAGTAAAGGTCAGTTTCACACACGGAGGCCAAAGTGTCACATCTGGATTTAAATCTGCAAGACTCCATTTAGAAGAAGAAACCAGCTGCAGCATTAGTGTCTGGTTCTGGTTTTAGGAGAAAATTCTGTTTAAAAGTCAAAGCAAACAGCAGAAAAAGGAAGAAATGCAGAAAGCTCGATATCTGCAGGAACATCGGTAACAAGCAGCAGCAGAGAGTTCAGGTTTTCTGCTGTAAAGAGAACAAAGAGCAGAAGAGCAGGAAGTGAAGAGAAGCATCGATAAAAGTAAAGTACCGGAAAAGTTCAGGTGTTCAGGAGGGAGTCAGCGACCAACCTGTTGGATGTATGGATCAGGTGAAGACTGAGCAGGAGGAGGGACAAACCTGAAGCATGTACATGAAGCTGTGCGTTTTAGCGCCACCTGATGGACTTGAGTGTTAGTGCTGCTGCTCACAGCTCAGAATGAAGACAACAGGACAGGAGAGGGGAGTTCAGCTTTATTATGACCGACTGCAGGAAGGACAACGCTGAACGGGACGCAGCTCTGCAGGTTAAACGATGGGAGTAAACCGGCCAGACGGTGGCGCTCTTCCCTCACAGCCTGCTGAAGGTGATCCTGGGCGCGACCTCGGGCTGCAGGATGAGGGTCACCGTGGTTTTTAGATCTTCTGAAGACGAAACGCTGAGATGGAAGCTCAGCAGCACCTGGACGGAGAAAAAAACAGTCAAAGCTGACGGCCAGGATCCCAGAGAGTCACGTTAGAGCTGTGAAAGCATTTATAAAACAATGATATTTTTAAGTAATTAGTAAAACTGTGGCTTTACGTTCAAACATCTTAAATCGTTCTTTGTGAAAACACAGGTTTTGGATGTTATTCACAGTTTAAACAGTTTCCTCTTATAGTTAAACTATAAATGGATATTTTTTGTGATTTTAATGGATATTTTCTGTAAACTAACAAAACTGNTCTTCATCTTCCTCCTGCACTAAAACCACTAAAGTCGTCTTCTTCAGTGTCTTCAGGAGCTGAACAGCCTCAGAATCACTTCATCACTTCCTCAGTCTCTCTGTCGTCGTCGCTCTCAGCCTCACTTTGGTCTCGAGGCAAACTCATAAAAATCCATAAATTCGCTGCATCGTTGTTTAAGCCGCAGTGTTCAGAGCGTGTGGACAAAGTAGCGGCTTGTAGTTTGGACATTACGGTAATCATTTTAATGTCATGTAAACTCACGTCACACTGACAAGTTTCCATCAACTCATGAACTTTTTCTTCATCAGATTCCTTCACAGCAGCATGTTAGTGTGTATGTGGGGTTATTTTATGTTTTCCTTGAACAGACACTTGCAGCTAATACTTTGCTGGATGGACCAACGCTCCCCGACAGCCGACCCAATGCAGACGGAGGAACCGTGTTTCTATACCTGAGCACCTCCTTGATGGTTCCTTTGAGCAGCGGCGCCCCCTGCAGGGCCTTCTGAGGATCACCACCGGCCTGCGCCCACGACGTCTGCACCTGCTGCCGCACCTGCTCCTGGACCTCCGGGTTTCGTCCCAGTTCGAACAGAGCGAACTGCAGGGGAACCGCTGTCTGCAGAGGGGACGGGTTTAGAGGCGACACCGAACCAGGGAGGAGCAACGCCTGTAAAAAGCCAACGCACTCACCGTGTCGACGCCTCCGGCCATCAGCTCAGTGACGTTGGCTTTGATCAGCTCCAGAGACAGCTTCCCTTTCTCCATGAGCTGCCCCAGAACCCCGGGGTACGGGCCTCCAGCCGGCCCAGCCGCAGAGCCCCGACCCGGGCAGGACGACAGGCGCTGGTAGCCCCTCTGGATCCTCGCCTCGGCTGCACAGATCGGAGGACGGCGTTTACAACAGCAGTGGTATTGTCTTGTCAAAGTGACAGGATTTTAGCTAATCAGAGATTCGTTTGTGTTCCAGGACCAGACGAGACACCAGATGAGTCATAATATGTGATAAAGGAAAGATTCCTAAACATTCATCACTGACCCGTCTCATTAATCTGAACCGTCCTGTCTTAGGTTTTATAATGTGTATTTCAGTTGTGAGGAAGGTGTTCTGTGTTGTTGGTGTGCAAACTGTGATCCATCCATCATCTCTACACCTTCATCCTCACCAGGGTNGTTGTGTGATTTTGTGTCTTGTTTTTGCCCTTTTTCATTTCATTTCCTTCATTTTGCGTCCTGTTTGTGTAGTTTTCCCTTGTGTGTGTCGTTTTGTGCCCCATTTTATGTCTTGTTTTTGTGCTTTTGCGTCTCATTTCTGTGATGTTGTGTCATTTTATGTCTTTATGTGGCCAGTTTGTGTAGCTTTGTTTCTCCTTTGTGTAGTTCTGAATCCCACTTTTCTTTCCTGTGACATTTTGTTTGTGTCTCTGTGACAGTTTGTCTCTTTTCTGCTGTTTTTTGTGTCATTTTTTTCAGGTTGTGTTTAATGTTCTCTTCACTGGTTTTTGATGTTTTGTGTCTCGTTTGTGTCAAACTTTTTGTCAGTCAGTTTTTACAGCATCACACTCTTCATAGTTTTTCCTGTTTTTGGCTCCAAAAAGCTTCATCTGTGACAGTTTTAAACCGTATTTGGTAAAAACTGAACTCTGCTGTTGGACTTCATGTTTCTCCAGCGTACAGTCGGAGGTTCGTTCACGCTGCAGATGTGACCTGACATTCAGCGTCGCTGCAGGGTCTCAGGATTTACATTCAGCTGTTGGACGAGTCAACAATGTGAAGCTAAACGCTGCTGCTCCACAGATGACATTTTGATAATATAAAGGTTCTTATGGTGACATTTGAAGCAGATGAAAACAGGAGGTTTTCCAGGAGAGGAAGACGCCACGTACAGTTTAATAATATATCATTTAAGTCTCTGTGGGAGAGGAATTGAGGCGAACTGAGACACGATGCTGCTTCAGAGGGAGCTTGTAGTTTTCTAGCTGTTCAGCCTCCGTTCTCCGTCTGCAGCATGCAATTAAAACAACAAAGGAACAGAGGACAACTAGAAATTAACATTAATTCTCTTTTCATACCAACTTGCATTTGACTGAAACACAATATTTCTGTATTTTAAGCTGCAAAAGTGTAATTTCACATCCAGCAGAGCAACATCAGCATTCGTCTGCTTCCAAGTTTCTGTTTATGTGTTGATGAAACTGTGACAGAAATCCTTTCAGAAAACTTTACGATGTGTTTTTATTGGAAAGNCTCTGGTGCATCGGACACCATGAACCGGCCTGAACTCAACACCAGCCTTCCAGCCTTTTCATTCCTCCTGCATCACGTTGTTATAATTAGCTGTGTTTTGAGCCATCATGTATTCTGAACCTGTATTTCTCCACTAAACCTATGTTCCTGTTTTGTCTTCCGAACACAGTGCACCTCCGGTTGGAGCTGTTTAACAGACCAGGAGACAACTGAAACTCTGCTCCATCAGTAGGACTGTTCCTTTAGATACACGCTGTACCAACAACATCCACACATGATGCTTACCACGTTTCTAGAACGTGGACAGAGCGTGGATGAGGTCTGCCTGTCCACGTCATTGATAACTGGCCAATTATACTTGGATGCGTAAGAGTCCACCCTCTGTCCGGAGCAGGCCCAGCACAAGATAAACGTGAATCATTTCCGGACTTCGGGGCTCCTTCTGATAGAGTTCTGTCACTCTGAGCCCAGCGCTGCCTCACTTTACCTGTGACCTGAATGACTTCTGCATCTGTGAACTGAAGATTTCTCCGGTGTGTTCTTGGGCTTCCAACTAAAGAATCGGGAGACAACGTCTTTGTTCTCTCGTTTCCACTCACGTGCATCAGCAGAAGCTGCATCTCGTTCTCGGCGATCCTCCTCCCGACGCACTGCCTCGCCCCGAACCCGAACGCCAGCGACCGAAAAGCGGACCCTCCCGTTCTCCGGCCCTCCTCCCGGCTGCTGCTCCACCGGCTCGGATCGAACCGCAGAGGATCCTCGAACACCTCGGAGCTGCGCCCCATAGGGTAGAGGCAGGCCTGGACCATGGTCTGAGACGGAGACGGAGGTCACATGTAGAACTGAATGAGTTGATGTGAGAGTCTGGTACCAACACTCACCCCAGCAGGGACGTGGTAGTTCTGCAGGACGATGTCTTTGACCGGGTATCGCTGCACGGTGATGCCAACTGGATATAACCTGACGAAACACCAAACAGACGCTTATTACCTCTAACTTGTCTCCATTCTGAACACATGCTCGGGATGAGCGCTGATCGATTCTCGTCTGAGGAACTTGAGGATTTGTCTGCTGATGGAAGCCGGTGCTGTCCAGAGCTCAGGGCGGGAGGCTGTTTCACGCTCGATCGATCTGAAGGAACAGTTTGTTTTTCCTCCATCATGTTTGTGCTCAAGGTTAAAGGAAAGTGTTTGTAGTGAAGCTCACAGCCTCGAATCAGGAGCAGCCGTCACTCTGGAGAGCGTCATGGTCCGGTTCAGTCTGCTTTGTGAGTGTGGGACTGGGCTATTTCCTGGGCAGCCGGTCGCACTTTGATTACCGTGAATCTGTTTGAGGATTTGCACCACTCAGTCAAACACCAGCTGACTCCTGCGTTGTTTATGTGACGTCGTGTTCTGTTGAAGAATGCATCCCGTCCTTGATGCTGATTTAACACCGAAAAGCTCAACTTGGCTCATAAAAAACTACGTATTTAGGAGATTTTATTTTATTTTATTATTTTAGATTAGTTGTAATTTTACACTTTTGCCTCCTCTAAGCATTCAGTTTTAGTTTTGGTTTGACTTTATACGCATTGTAAAGACATATCCACAGCTGAAGTGCGTCTCTATGCAGACGACACCACACTTTATTTAGCTGATGTTTCTCTGAGCCACTTTTCCACACATTAAAATTTGATAGAAGCCTAAAAGTGAACATATAGAACATTTTTAAGATGAAATGTTTAAGTGCAAACGTGAATGAATGAAGTTATTTTCATGGAACTTTCACAACTTATTTTGCAGATATGACAAGATATAGAAACATTGGTCGATGTATAAGTTCTGGTTTCTTTTCTCCAAACATAGCTATGAATATATTTTTCTATTTTCACATCTTTATTGATGTTTCCATATTTTATCTTGTAAGAGATGGTTGAGCAGAAATGATCATAAAATCTTAATAATTTGAGACAAATTTACTTTTCTTTCTCTTAATCACTTGTATACTTCTTTTGTCCTTCTGAAAAATGCAAATTTCATGAAAAGTTTTCCATTTAAGCAGAACACAGTTTGCAAAATGGGACAAAAGGAGCGTAGAGCTGATTCTTTGTGATTTTAACACATAATTACATCCCATCAAAAATAAACTTCAGTCAAGTGGAAAACATTTGTTTTTAGATTTTTATAAGATTACCGTAATCTCCAGACTATGAGGGCACCTGAATATAAGCTCCACCCACTAACTCTAAACAGGAAACCAGGTGTGTTCATATCCAGGCTGCAGGTGTCTCTAAGCTGCAGGTGTCCACGTTGGAACATGAGATATTTACACAGAAAGATGTTTTAACCTTTAATTAAATGCGTAGCGGTAACAT